CTTGAATAAAAAATATTTTCTTCAAATGAGCGCCATCCCCATGTAAAAGGTTGGAAGGTGGATATCTTGATGTACACCAAATTATATACAAGCAGCAAGGCTCTTGTTTGGAACTGTGAATGGAAAGACCAAGCATGTCCATCAAAAGTCATTCTTTTACTTGTTCAAAAAGCAAAAATTAATTTGATGCCCAATGGTATCAAAGGATATTCCCTTAACAACCTTTCTTGTTTTTTTCTTCGTCAATACTTTCGAGCAAATAAAGTCGAGACTTCGCACTTTATGACTACAATCTGAATTACAAGATCTCGTCTTGGGTCATCAACTATAAAAATGGAAGAATATATACCTAGCACATTTAAAGATAAAGAAAAATGGCAATAAACAAAGATGGCTTCGAGTTTGACACGATGGTCACCCAATTTTACCTTTTGTTTTTAATGGAAGACTTTGGGAGGAATTTACGAGTCAACAAAAATGTTGTAAAGATATCCAATATATTATTTCTTTGACGGAGAGGATACCATCTCATATCACATCATATCAAAATATTAAAAAATATATATATAATAGATCTAAGGGGTTGTTTGAACTCCCTTTTTTTTTGGGAAAATGAGTTTTGTAATAATTAATTTTTTTTTTTTATGAGAATGTGTAATTAAAAGGTTGAAAAATTTTTAGATTTACGTGTAAAATTATTTTATTTCAATAATGTAATGTTGAAAATGAATTTAAAGTAAAATAAATTCATAATATAAGTGTTCGATTCCTACCTCTTACAAGGTATGAAATTTGACTCTTTGTGGGCACCAGTATGACAGCTCTTGTACCATGTTCTGCTGAGGCACATCCCACGATTTACCTCCTCCACAATGCTCTGAGACGGGGCGATTGGGGACCCTCAAGGTTGGGGTTCAACCTCTTTAATAAACTATATCTAAGAGTTTCGAATCAGAGCCCACATGGTGACAAGAATCTTGCCGTTTTGAGAATTTACAACAATTTTTTTTTTTATAACAGGTAGTCATTACAACCAAATTTGTTTATTCATGTGCATCAAATCTGGGAATAGTTTACATTATAACTAGGCGAATAGCCTTCCACGTGATTGAATTGTCAATGGACAAATTATTACACAACTGTCACACGACTTAAAATTGGAGGGTAAAATCATCAAATTACTTAGTATTTTTATTTGATTCAACTAAAACCCTATCTGCCCCTTGTTTAGAAGGAATTAAAATTAAATTTTTTTTGTAAATTTTGATAAAAATTAATGAAGTGTATGAGTAAAATTAATTGTCAACTTTGACTTAAATTAAACAAGGGCTTGGTATTTCTAAAAATCAGATTTATAGTACATTTTAATAAAATTTGATAAAATGTATGACTAAAAAGTTAATAAAAAAAATGTGAATCCCATAAAATATACAATGTAAACAAGAGCTCAAAATCACGTAAAATTTCAAAGTTCACATCGATAGTCTGAATTACATGAATAATCAAGTTCACATTTAAATAGGTTGAAAACCTAAAACTTCACCCTCGAATATTGAAATCCCATAACCACAGCATAAGAAAGATTGAGAAACTCAGCCCTAAATTTCCCTTTTTAATTATTAGGTGATACAACATATTTAGAAAGTGTTTATAAACGATTTAAATTATAAATAGCAAAAATGCTAAATGCACACATCTTGATTTACATTCACTTTTACATTCCTCTCACATAGGGGGTGGATCCCACCATTTTTAAAACTGCAAGCCTCACCCCCTATTTGATAGGAATGTGAAAGTGAATGTGAATCAAGTATGTAAGTGTAGCATTACTCTATAAATAGATAGAATAGAATGGTGAATAAATGAGTAGTATTTGTGAATCTTTAAAAGTGCACGAATAAAAAGTGACTTGACATTTATAAATATGTTATGAAGATGAGCCAAACATAAAACACAAACATAAAAGTTATTGATTATTCAACAAATTTGCGTGCAAAAATTACAATGTCCATTGAACATCACAATTCACAAAACAAACAATACAGAAGCTGCATTTTCCAGTTACAAAAGAATATAACCCAATGAAATTATTGACGGGAGGGAGACTCATGATGCTTTAACGACTTTTTGCTTCTTTTCTTCCAGCGTGACTGCCTCACTCAACATATCAGCGGCGTCCTTGTGCATGTCGAGCTTTGCAAGGGCTACTGCCTGCATGTAGAATGCTGTCGACCAATCAGGGTATATACATTGTGCTTGCATTGCATCNNNATATACATTGTGCTTGCATTGCATCTCGGAGAGCTGCATCTGCCTGATCGCACATAAGATAACAAAGGCTTCGCCGTGCATGAACAGTTGGCGAAATCATGGCACCCACATCTACGAACTGCACATACTATTAGAATCACAATTCCATATAGCTAACACAATAGCTAATGAATTATCAAGACACCAGAAAGTACAGGTTGTGGTTAGCAGTCTTTGGGTCCATGTAAAATTCCCTTGCAAGAGAAGCGCATATAAAATCTCTAGCTGATACTCTCTCCTTGCTCATTAAATGTGTAAGGTTAATGAATATCAAGCCTAAGTAAAAGATATGGGGATTCTTTACATTCCTTCAACCACTAAGTGTAAATTATTTTTGCAAAGAGAGAACGAGAGAAGTCAAATTTCCATTCTATACTCTTACAGAAGCATTTTTAGATTGAGAAAAAAAACTCTCATTAAGGAAAAGTAGCTAGGATGGAAAGTGAAATCTTGCAGTATGGTGCTTAACAGAATACAGGTAGTCCACGAACCAGTATGGAAGTTAAAAATTCATAGGAACTCAGTAGATTTCAGTAGCGGAAGAGGTTGTGTTTAGAATTATAGTTAATGAGGAATTCTTTCTCGTGATAAGGCAAAGAAGTGCATGCATGGAGAGTTGGATAT